CAGAAACATTCATGTATAAAATAATAATTTAACAGAAACATTCATGTATAAAATAATAATTTAACAGAAACATTCATGTATAAAATAATAATTGAACATTATTTATCTGAGGAGCAGCTTTGAGTTTAACTCCATCACTGAACTCTCATCTTGAACAAGCATGAAGGCGACAGTGGAAAGAAAAACTCCCTCATGAGGAAGAAACCTTTAGCAGAACCAGGATCAGGACTAGAGGACCATCTGCTTTGACCAGCTGGGTTTGGTAGGAATAGATACACAATGGCAGGTCAAGAATCACATGTTAAGACAGAAATAGTATCAAATGAAAACTATTCAATTTTAACAATTCATTTAAGGAAATGAGGTCAGTTTGTCCTCTAGTAGTCTAAGTCTATAGCAGCATAACAAGCCGACCCTAACTATAGGATTTATCAAAAAGGAAAGTCTTAAACTGGACAATGTGTCAGCCTCACGGACAGAAAGTGTCAGAAGAACTCCTTGTAAACAGATCGTTGCTACAATGGCTGCCAGCGCAGACAGTAGAGAAGAATCAGATGCTTCCTCAGACCTGAGTCTCTGTCAGAGAGAGACGAAGAGTCGGTTCAAATAATATTGTTTCAACAAACAAAAACCAGGGAGTTCCTCTTAAAATGGTCCCCTTTGATGTCACTTCCTGTCTCACTTTGGCTGCTCTATGTTCAAAAGAAAATATGCCAGATATGTGACAAAATGTGTAAAATTGTGTGTATCATGTTAAACTTCTTCAATGTTAAGCTGGTGTGTTGCTTTGCAGGGCATGAATGTCACAGGAGCTTTAAGATACCGTATTTATCTGCTCCACTGGCGGAACATGTTGTCACTTTGTTAAAATTTACACTGGAACAAAAAGCTCAAGAGAAACGGTGTGTTCGTCCCGTTCTCTGTTTCAGGGTGAATAAAGAGGTTTCAGCAGACTCCAGAGAAGCCAAGAGTTACCTAAAGAGCCAGAGTGCCAAGCAGGATGCACACGGACACACAGAGGAGGCACCATCCCCAAACCAACCATCTCTACCTGGCTCCAGGTAAATACAAACACACCAGGGTAGGGATGGATACTGTGTCCATCTGTTAGCAAAAGAATGAACCAGTACATGGATTTTATTGAAAGTCTAAGAAAAGATGGATGATTGAAAGAAATCTGCAACTAATTAACTTTTGGAGGCAACCTCATTTCTGCAGGTCGCCACAGCTGATGAGCATGAGACAACACTAAGTGGGATAATGTTTTACTGCTTCGGTTCTTACATTCTTTTATTTCAGGTTTTAGACGCTTCCTTCAGCCTCTGATGCCTCTGCACTGTTGTGAAATGTTGTCATGCAGCAGTCTCAACCTGTTTGGCACGACGACACGATTTCAGACGAGACAATTTCTCATTGAGGGAACAAAAAACTCAAGTTCTCCAGCGAAGCCTGTTTTTCCACTCGTTCTCTGAAAGAATGAATACGTTACAAAGTCACTATAAAAAAATTGGGTTGCTGCTTTAAAATCCAAGATGGCTGCCACGATATCTTCCACTTCAGAGGACTCAGGTCCTCTACCAGAGACCTGGGAGTTTGAGGGTTCTGTTCCGTGCCTTACCTGTTCCTAGAACTGAGCTCTTCTGGACAGAGATCTCTGAGGTAGTTCCTGGGATCTGTTGGAACCCCTTTTCCTGTTTGGGAGGTCACAGCAGAACGTGTACCAATGACCACTGGGACTACTGACACTTTGAGTTTCCACAACTTCTGTATTTCCTTTGTCAGCTCTTGGTATATCTTGTTCTTCTTGTGCTCCTTCTTCCTGACGTTACTTGAGATGGCTACATCTAACACCACATCTATCTTCTCTTGCTTGTCAACCACCACAATCTCCGGTTGGTTAGTCATCACCTGTTTGTCAGTCTGGATCTGGAAGTCCCACAATATCTTAGCCCATCCATTCTGCACCACCCTTAGTGGTGTCTCCCACTTCAGCTGTGGGACCTTCAGTCCATACTCGGCACAGATGTTCCTGTAGATTATTCCAGCTACCTGGTTAGGGATTCATGAGTCTGAAGCCCCCAGTATACTGCCGCGTACGTCCATACGCAGAGGTACATGCGTACCCCCCAGGGCATGTCCGTGCAAAGCTCAAATTTTTACGACCGCATACGCGTACGTGGTGTCGCACAATAAACTGCCCAGCGACGGACTGTTTTGTATGCGACACCAATGTGTTAAATTTCTCTTCTTCATCCTGATCTGGCCTTTTGTTTTGTTTTTTGCCAAGAGGCAGTGACCTCTTCCTCCTCCGTTGATGCCATGACTGAAATGGTGAGAAATGAAGGAATTTGTCACGAGCGAATTAAACTCAGGTCCAGCGTGGCTGCGGGAGGGTCTGGAGATTTCCTGGTGGGCTGGTCTGATGTGTGGGCTGCAGGGTTTTTTTTTTTAGATCTTTTTATTAACAACATATAAACACAGAACACCGCTGCGGCTGAGGCTGCCAGCGCTCGCTTTTTTTTTTCTTTTTTCCGACCTGTCAATTAATCCAGTAGGCGTGTCAGCAAATGACCAATCGGCGACCTCAATTGGTCCCGAAGGTAAATGCCTCTTGTCTGTGAAGCTGCTCTGCAGCTGCTCGGGGTGTACGCTGGAGTATGAACTCTGAACCCTCTGCGTACAGTACACACGTACGTACGCGTGAACGGACGTACGCGGCAGTATACTGGAGGCTTAACAGCCTCATGGTAGAAGCTGTTCCTCAGTCTAGTGGTTCTACACTTAATGCTCCTCAACCTCCTTCCTGAGGGGACTGGGACAAAAAGTGTGTGTGCTGGGTGAGTGTGGTCCTTCATGATGCAGGTGGTCCTCTTCCTGCATCTGGAGGTGTAGATGTCTGTGATGGTGGGGAGACTGACTCCAACATCTTCTGTGCAGCCTTCACCACTCTCTGCAAAGCTTTTCTTTCTGCAGCTGTGCAGCCTCCATGCCACATGTTGATGCTGGAGCACAGGATGCTCAAGGCCCTCAGCACAAGAGCAACAGAGGCTGGGGTCTACCATACCAGACAAGACCCAAGAAGCAGGCTGTGTACAGATGCCCCTGAGACTGTGCAGCACATAACAGCAGGGTGTAAGATCCAGGCAGAGATGCATGGAACACCATAACCACTGGTAGGATTTGTTGATATCAGCCACTTTCTTTCTTGATGCCTCCTCCTTCCATATGCTTCTCTAGTATTGCTCAGTTTCAGCTCAGGGTGGATCTACCCTCGTGTTGTTCCCACACAGAGTACACTCTGGATGGTGTGGTGGAAAATACTCTGGTTATTCTCCTGGATTCTGTGTCTTGAGTGTACATCCTGAGTGTACCTCTACTTTAGGTGAGTAGCCAGAGCTTTGAGGCGTTGTTTGGCTGTCTCTAGATCCTCAGGTGGACATGTTACGGTATTTTTACGGCTCTTTATTCATTGCACCTTTCTGTTGTTGTGACAGCTGGTTGATTTCTCTCCATATTGCTTTGATCTTAGTTTCCAACCTTCTTCTCCATGGAGAGCAATGCTCCTTATTGATTGGCTTGATCTGCTTCTTATTGGCTGGCTTGATCTTATAGCCAAGAAAGTCAAGGCTCACTGTGGCCTTGTCCATACATGTCTTTTCTAGTAGCCCATTTTTAAAAAACCCGGTCTTGACGCCACAGACATGTCCAATTTTAGGCCTGTTTCAAAACTGCCCTTTGTGTCGAAGATCTTGGAGAAAATAGTTTAGTCAGTTAACATCTTACTTAAACGACCACAACCTTCTTGAACTGTTTCAATCTGGTTTTAAAACTCCCCACAGTACTGAGTTGGCACTGTAACAACATTCTTTTAGCCACAGACTCTGGTCACTGTAGTTTTGATGCTGCTGGACCTAACTGCTGCCTTCGACACAGTGGACCATTAGATCCTCCTGTCCCGTCTGGAGAACTGTGGGGGCATTCAGGGTCCTGCTCTACAGTGGTTTAGATCCTATTTAACTGAGAGAAGCTTTTGTGTGTGCTTTGATTCTGTGGAGTCCTCTGTAGCACCTCTCACATGTGGAGTACCTCAGGGCTCTATACTTGGCCCGTTCTGTTTTCCTTTTATTTAGTACCTCTGGGATATATTCTCCGGAAACATGGTATTTCTTTTCATTTTTACGCTGATGACAGCCAAATGTATGTTCCTTGAAACAAGATAAACAGTACTCCCTGAACCAACTCCTGGAATGTATGGCGGAAGTCGGAGCATGGACGTCACAGAACTTTTTACATTTTAATGAGAAAAAGACGGAGGTCTTGCTGTTTAAGCCCAGTGATGGTTCTAAAGTCCATGTTGATCTGGGTCCTTTAAGCAAACATCAGACTGAGACCGCAACCAACCTGGGTGTGAGGCTGGACAATGATTTTAAACTGGATGCTCAGATTAAATCTGTGGTTAAGTCCAGCTTTTATCACCTGAGACAACTGGCCATGGTCAAACCATCATTTAGAGATTTTAATCCAGGCTTTCATTACAACTTGTCTGGACTACTGTAATCCACTTTATGTGGGTCTGAGCCAGTTGTTACTGACTCGACTTCAGCTGGTTCAGAACGATGCTGCTCGTCTTTTAACTGGCACCAGAAACCGAGAGCACATCACCCCTGTCCTAAAATCACTACACTGGCTCCCAGTTTGTTTCCAGGTTAATTTTAAGGTTCTTTTGTTTGTTTTCAAATGTCTTCATGGTCTCGCCCTACAGTATCTGTCCGACCTTCTCCAGCCGTACAATCCCTCACGCTCTCTCAGATCAGCTGATCAGCTGCTGTTGTCCATCCCAAAGTCCAACAGGAGGCTGAGAGGTGACCGAGCGTTCTCAGTCGCTGCCCTGAACTGTGGAACGAGCTGCCTCTGCACGTCAGACAAGATGACTCACTTCCTGTTTTTAAATCTGCTCTGAAGACTCTTTTTTTCTCTTTGGCTTTTAATGCAGCTTGAAATGTTGGTTTTACTGTTTTATGATTTGGTAGTTCATTATTTTGATGGTATTTGTTGAGTTCGTAGTTTTCATGCTTGTATGTGTTGGTGTACAGCACTTTTGGCCAACGCTGTTGTTTTAAAGTGCTTTATAAATAAAGTTGTATTGTATTTCTCATTAGAATGTCCTGGTTCCCAACGTCTGATGTGGACCGTGTTAATCCTGGAGACGTCCGAGCTGGCGTGACCTCATTATTTTGTCTCGCTCATAGTGTTGCTTGCTCGGAGATTGGCACAAACTGACCACCCCATCATTTGAGACAACTATGCTTTCTGGATTTTATATTGTTTAAAAGTAAAGTTTCCTCAAATGATTGGGGTGATTAATCTATGGCGGTCAAGACCACCCCGTCTCCACCATTGCACCTGGTCATGGATAAAATTGCTTCCACCAGTCTCTAGGATCCGTCACTCTGCACTACCAAAGCAAAAACATTTAAAATGAAACCCTACCTCCGTTCTACGTAACTCCTACACACTGGAATATATTACATCAACATTGTTTACTTACATTTTTTTGTTCAATTCCAATGCAAAAATAGATTCATCTTTAAATCTGCAAACATTCACTCTTCAAATCCCTCAGAGACGGAGGACATCAGCATACTGCTTGTCAAACATTTACTTCTCCTTAGGAGAGACGAGGGTGGAGAAGACATGATCAGAGGTCCAGCACAGGTTGAACAACTGGGAGGTAAAGTTAGAGAGGACACACTGAGATGGTTTGGACATGTCCAGAGGATGGACGGTGGTTTGGACATGTCTAGAGGATGAACGGTGGTTTGGACATGTCCAGAGGAGGGACGGTGGTTTGGACATGT